CAAATTTGCCACCAGACAGGACCTAGCTTTGCCCAGAAGCCCACAAGTCTATGCCACCAACTATAAAAATGTTTAGAATTACACATGTTAAAATGAACTTTTGTGCATCTTAGCAAACTTCACATGTTAATGGCACCTTTACCAGTTAATAAACAATCTGCCAACGGACAGATAAGGAAGGCTGAATGCAGAGTCACCAGTAAGGAACTCCTGTGTGGCCAACCCTGCCTGGGGGCCCCACTCTCCAGACGGCGGTCCCTCAGAAGGAAACTAACTGCTGGGCATGGTGTGAGCCTTGTCCCACCACAACACAGCCTCCTCTTACCCTCAGATGCGAGCCCGCACCAGCTCCAGCCAGGGCACACTCGTGGAGACAGCTGCCCCATCGTATCAGAAGTGCGAGGGTCTTCCGTCCAGACTCTCAACAGACAGGTTGTGCTGGGGTTTCTGCCAAACCTGTGTTCACCTGAAGGCACATCGCTCCCAGGGAAAAAGTTTAACCTGCTCCCAGACATGCTCTGTTAAACCTGCTGTGGCCGTGGTGGATGTGGGGGTGTGGAGGTAGGAGCAAAGTTCAGGAAGTGCCCTCCTAGGTTCTTAACAAACAGTCACATCTCAAAACAGAATGGCTTTTGTTTTTGACTCTCTAACCTCAGATAACAGTGTGTACAAAAGACACATTTCCCTGTTATATTTTATTAAGGCAGCTCTTTTCTGCAGCTGCTGATAGTGGGAGAAGGAGGGAGGAACAGAGGCGGTACAGCAGGGACAATTCCTATCAGTTCTGTTTGTGCCTGTTCCATGACTCTCCCATCCCTTTCCAGAAATCCTGGTACACGAGATCACCCCCTGTAGGCCTCCAGCACTCCTCCATCCTCTACCTCACTCAGATTCTCAGAGGAGCAGCTTTCCTCTCATTCCCTGAACGTCAGTGATAAGCCTAAGACACTTCCTCACTTCTTCCCTCCTCAGACATGCCACATCAGTGACTTTCTTCTAGGAATTCTGTTACAACGACCAGCCAAAGGGATGCTCAGGGAAATGCCGGGAGCTACGGAACCCACTACACAGCACTGGCAGGAAAAGGACAGAGCAGCAGCCCATCAATAGTTCCCTGCAGCAGGGTCCCCTGACCAACACTGCCGTGTGCCCAGCCAGAAAAGTCAAAAAGGCCTATCTCAGGATCTCCAGCAGAGGGTCTCCAAATGTGGCATTGGGATGTAATGCACAGTCTCCACTCATATTTTTATTGGACTTTTAAAGACTATACAATGTAAAATTTAAATAAATAAATAAATAAAGACTATACAATGTACTGGCTTTTTTTTTTTTTTTTAAAGAAAGCAATCTTTCTATAAGTTTCACAATACCTAGTTTCACTCTCCTAAAAATGACATCTAAAAACCTTAAAAAGCACAAAAAGACATGAAGGTATCTTAAATGCATATTATTAAGCAAAAGAAACCAGCCAGTAGAGGCATACACTGTAGGATTCCAACTATGTGATTATGTGACATCCTGGAAAGGCGAAACCATGGGGACAAATAAAAGATCAATGGTGCTGGGTGCTAGTAGTGGTGGGGGGAGTGACGCATGGATCACAGAGAACTGTTAGGGCAGTGACACTACTTTGTATGATACTATAATGGTGGGTACATGACATTGAACATTTGTCAAAAATCACAGTCTGTACACTACAAGAGTGAACCCGCATGTAAGCTATGAACTTAGGCAATAAAAATACATCAATATTGGTTCACCAGTTTTAACAAATGTACCCCACTAAGACAAATGTTCATGAGGGAGAAAACTGTGTTGGTGTGTGTGTGTGGGGGTGGAGAAGTGGGGGGGGGGGGGTTTGAGAGGAACTCTTTGCCTATCAGCTCCATTTTCTGTAAACTTAAAACTGCTAAAATATAAAGTGTATTGATTTTATTTTATTTATTTCTTTTTAATAGTATATATATATATATATTTAAATATATTTTATTGATTTTTTTACAGAGAGGAAGAGAGAGGGATAGAGAGTTAGAAACATCGATGAAAGAGAATCATCGATCAGCTGCCTCTTACACACCTCCTGCTGGGGATGTGCCCGCAACCAAGGTACATGCCCTTGACCGGAATCGAACCCGGGACCTTTCAGTCTGCAGGCTGACACTCTATCCACTGAGCCAAACCAGTTTCGGCTATAAAGTGTATTAATTTTAAGTAACAAAAAGAAAAACTTAAAAAAAAATTCCTCAATTCTAAAAAAATTAAGACTTAAAAACTTGAGAAGCATTCCTTTGGCATACTCTTTGAAATGTCAGGTTCCCACAATGCCGTCCAAATGCAAGAGGTGGGAGCTGGCATACCCCAGGACGGGAGGGCCACAGTCATTGGGGTGAGAGGGCGATTCACCCACTCAGAGGACAAAACGGGGTCATGGTCCAATAGCACCCCTCAACCAAAGGACTTGTATACATGCATATAAGTACAACCAATGGACCCAAAACTCTGGGGAGGGAGGGTATGTATGGGAGGGAGGGGCAATGTTAAAATATGTACACAGATAATAATTTAATAAAAATAAAAAAATAAAAAAACAGCACCCCTACCTACTCTACCCAGGTTTCAGGGGAGGCAGCCCACTGCAGTGGCTCACTCTTTTGGACCAAACGGGAACTTCAAGTACAAAATGTGTTGATGCCTTTACTATTCTGAGTAATCATTGTATTAGTTTCCTAGGGCTGCTATCTCAAATTACCATAGACTGGGTGCCTTAAAACAATAGGACTGTATTCTCCACTGAGCCAAACCGGTTCTGGCAATAGGAGTGTATTCTCTGACAGCTCTGGAGACCAGAAGTCTGTAATCAAAGTGTCAGAAGGGTTGAATTCTCCCTTCCTGTCCCTTCCAGCCTCTGTAGGTCCCTGGCAGTCCTTGGGCCTGTGGCTGCGTCATTCCAGCCTCTGCCTCCATCTTCATATTGCCTCCCCCACCATCTCTCTTTCTCTTCTAAGGATACTCAGCATGATTTATCTGATCTTGAGGTCCTTAACTCAATTACATCTGAAAAGACCCTTTCCTTTCTCCAAATAGTCACATTCACAGGGTCTGGGTTTGGCTTAGTGGACCTGCAGACTGAAAGGTCCCAGGTTCGATTCCGGTCAAGTGCATGTACCATGGTTGTAGGCATATCCCCAGTAGGGGGTCTGCAGGAGGCAGCTGACCAATGTTTCTAACTCTCTATCCCTCTCTCTTCCTCTGTAAAAAATCAATAATAATAATATTTATGAAGAAAAATGGAAGCAGAGTAAGTGCATGCTGCATGGACATGCTTCCAGGAACAAACTGGCATTACTATTAAAACACAAAAAAACCTTCCTGATTAATCAATGAAAAACTTGCAGGAGAGAACCCCGGTACCCAAGGACCAAAAGTGGAGACTGCATAGAGACTGGGAGGAGGGGTGGAGGCACAGGTTCAGGGTGGATGTACCTTTGAGGGACCATCATTCAATCCACTACATATAAAATATTTATTAAAAATGATGTAATGTCCTAGTAGAAATATGAGAGAGGAATAAAATAAAAACACTGATGACAAAGCATATGCTCTTGAGACATGATAAGGATTCAGTGCTGACGACGTAAGTAACAGGATCCTGCCACACTGCTGGGAAGGCAATTCTCCAGATGCTCCAAACAAAAAAGGAAGGCTCTCCCCCTGGTCTAGCCACATTCCTGGAAAATTCAAGATGTGTCACACCTCACAGATGTGTCCTACTCAGGCCTTGTAAGCAGCCGCTTCAGTCACAGGGGCTGGCAGTTCATCTGAAAGCTGACACATCAGAGTCATGCACACCGGGTCCCCCACCTGGCCACACTGTGCCTTGCAGTCAGTACAAGTCCCATCTGGGGACTGGCCTCCATATGCTAGGACTGGGCCTGGCACTGCCCAGTCACACCCAGAATGCACACGAGGGACAAAAAGCAGTGACCCTGCCTTTGGGGGCTCAGGCTCAGCTGGCACTCTAGGACAAAGCTGTGAAGGATGAACAGGCCCAGGTGGCCTGGCGGGGAGCAGGCGTCTGTGCTGGCAGAAATGATAATCAGGAAGTGGGCCTACATTTATCCGAGGGTCCCCACTTCCTGGGGCAGCTCCCCACAGGAGGGACATGAGACAGAAGGAAAGCAGTGCAATGCTGAGGTGAGTTAATATTCAGAGGGAATTTCAGAAACTATTCTGTGCAACCCCCTCATTTCACAAAGGAGCCGAGGCTCAGAGGACTCAAGTGCAGGGCTTCAAACCCAGTGGGTCTCAGCCTAACCCTCCTCCCCTCACTGGGAAACAGAGGCTGAGGGGCTGGCAGTGTCCACCACGGACTTCAAGGACTCAGGAGTTCCAGTATATTTTTAAAAAGTCCAGACTCAGCCACCTGGACTCTCTCAGCATCTGCCCCAGCCCACCTCTCCAACTATAATGGGACACAGTGATAGTGGTCTATCTCACAGACCTTCCCCAAACCTTCCCCAAATTACTAGCAACACCATGTAACCATAGCAACCCTTGGGGGGGGGGGGTACACGACTAAAGGGCAGAGTAAAACAAAGCATTAATCAAAGGTCTCTAGAAGATCCCAGAAAGTGGTTTGAAATATGAGAAAATAAAAACCACAAAATGAGTCCCTTGCTCTGGCCTGCCAGAGAGTCCTAACTGCTCAGCGTGTCACTCTACTAACAATCTAAAAGCGCCTCTTGTCAAGAGTCTCAAGTATGTGACACTCAGAGTAGACACGTATCAACTGTGTGCTGGAGCCAGGAATCCCCCAAAGCCCACCAACCACAGTGCCCCCCACAGGGTACACAGGGCTGCAAAGTGAGTCCTTCCCTGCCCTTCCAGCCATTTCCTATATAAACAGCCAGGGAACCACTAAATGAAGCAGGATTTAAGATTGCACAGAGAAGTAGGCGTAACATCAAGTTCCATCCAGCTCTCTTGTGAAAGCCACTTGCCTCAAAGGTAACAAAGTCCTCAAACTCATCAGGGCAGGCCTGCGGCTCCTCGTCCTGGGCAGGTACGATGCTGCACAGCTGGCCATCAGAATCTGTGGGAGAGAAGACCCAGATTTAGCAGAAAAGCCAGATCACCCAGACAGGTCAAGGGGGCAATGATGTGAATGGCCAAGGAGCCTGGTTTCCCTATGAGAAACCTGGGAGGAAAAAAGGTTAGGATAGGAAAGCAGGTCTCCGACTGAAACAACACTTTGTGCCAGAGTTCTTGGGCAGCAGTGGGGAGGCCAAATGGTAATTACTTCTTCAAAGAGCTGGACAACATTGCAAAAGAGAAAGAGCATAATACTAGCTCTGGCTCATGGCTTTAAAAAGTATTAGATGCCAAAAAAAAGTATTAGATGCCAGATTTAATTTTTTTTAAAATTGTACATATTTGGGGAGGAGTGAGTATAATGAAATATTACCAAAACTAGAGGCCCGGTGCACAAAATTCATGTATGGGGGGGAGCCCCTCAGCCCAGCCCAGTCTGCACCTTCTCAGATCCGGGACCCCTCGGGGGATGTCCAACTGCCAGTTTAGGCCTACAACCAGCAGTTGGACATCCCTTTTACAATCTGGGACCACTGGCTCCAAACTGCTCACCTCCCTGCCTGCCTGATTGCTCCTAGCTGCCTCCCCCTGCTGACCTGGTAGGCCTCAACTGCCCTCCCACCCCACCAGCCTAGTCAACCCTTACTACCCCCCATGCCGACCTGGTCACCCCTAACTGCCCCCCACTGCCAGCCTGGTCACTCCATGCAGCCTGCTGTCTGGTCGTTTGGTCACCCCTCACTAACCCCCCTGCCGGCCTGGTCACCCCATACAGCCTGTTCAATCGTCCATTCAGTTGTGATGGTTGCTTAGGCTTTTATTATTATAGACAACCCCTTGTCCTCAGTGCTGGACTCACAGGCAGTTTTTATTTTCTTCTTTTTTTTTGCTTATCTTTATCTTTTAAATATATGTTCTATTTTATAACTAGAGGCCCAGAGGACAGATTTGTGCACATTGAAAGGAAATTAATTGGAAGATGGCCAGTGGGGCGGGACTGGGCAAGATGGGCCAGACATGTCCTGGAGCCAACCTCCTGCAAACCGTCCCTGGCTGGCCATACCTGGGGCAACGTCTGCGAAGTGAGTGGGGTGGGTCCCTCTGGCCGGTGGGGTCCCTCGGCCTGGCCTGCAGGTATGGGGCTGAAACCAGCAGTCCAACAACCCCCAAGGGGTCCCAGAATGCGAGAGGGCACTCTGCAAAGTTGCTATCACTTGGCAGCTCCTGTGATGAGCGTCTTTCCCCTAATGGTCAGTGTGCATCATAGCTCCCGGTTGGTTGGCCAGTCACTTGGGCTTTTATATACACTGAGTGGCCAGATTATTATGACCACCCCATCAGTTCTTCGTTGGGCCACCTTTTGTCTTCAATACTGCGGCGATTCTTCTTGGCATTGACTCCACGAGATGTTGAAAGGTGATGCGAGGAATCTGACACCATGCCTGATGAATGGCATTGCCTAGTTCTGTGAGATTTGATGGTTGTGGAACCAGCTGCCTGATGGTTTTTAACTTCGTCCCACAAATGCTCAATTGGATTGAGACCTGGTGATTGTGGGGGCCACCTAAGCAAGGTAAATTCGCCCTCATGTTCTTGAAACCACTCCTACACAATGCCAGCACTGTGCCACGGCGCATTGTATTGCTGAAAAGAAGCCATCTTCATTGGGATCCGCCATCAACATGATAGGATGAACTTGATCAGCAACAATATTAGGTATGTTGTGCTATTCAGACGTTGTTCCACATGAATTAAAGGGCCCAAATCATGCCAGAAAAACATGCCCCAAACCATAACACTGCCCCCACCAGCTTGAAGGGTTGTACTCATGCATGTGGGGTGCATGCTTTCATGCTGTTTCTGCAAAATTCTCACTCTGCCATCTGCATGATGCAACTGGAAACGTGATTCATCGGACCACATGACTTTTGTCCAATGTTCGACTGTCCAATCCTTGTGTTCCTGTGCGAACTGGAGACATTTTATCTTGGTAACTGCAGACAGCAAAGGTGTTCGAATAGGCCTTCGGCTTCCATATCCCATACGATGCAGTGTACGGCTAATGTGCCTACAAACGTCAGGTGGTCATAATATTCTGGCCACTCAGTGTATATCAATAAGAAAAAGTTAAAAAGGAAAGCAATCTTTTCATGATGGACAGGCTATAATTTTGACATCAGCATTGAAACATCACTTTTCAAACAACCAATTCCCACAAAGAAAAGGTACTGGCTTCCACAGTCTCCTGACCCTGTTCAGGCCTAACACTTGCCAAAGAGTGTGCAAGCTATGGAATTATGTTTCCTGATTTTGCCTCACTGCTGTATACTGTCATATCATAATAAATATTTATTTGGTTTTTATCCTCAGTTCTGATGCAGAGCTCCTGAAACTCTGGGAACTTCCTTATGATGGGATGGAAAGAGCATCTGTTGTTATCATTAACAAGCCCCTTTCTGCTTTACCTGGGTTTAAACTAATGAGGGTGGCTCTTGGAGGATGGGGGTTGGTTAGGGAACCGACCTTGTGATTAGAGAGCTGGATTTCAGTTTCACCCCAACTTCTCAAAATGAGGGGGTTCAGAGAGCTGGGTTAGTGAACACATCATATGGGGAGAATAGCACATCCCAAATTCCACAGAGACAGAAGCCCCTACATGTGGACTCTCCAGACCGCCCTATATACCTCCCTCTTCATCTGGCTGTTCATTGTAACCTTTATAATAAACTGGAGACAGAACTAAAGTGTTTCCCTGGGTTCTATGAGCCATCACAGCACATTATCAAACCTGAGGAAGGAGCTGTGTAAACAGAAGTGTGGGTAACCTGGGCACCTGTGGGGTCTGTGCTAACTCTGGGCACATAGACATGTCTGAAATGATCAGCTATGTTTTGAGAGTTTGAAATTCTGTGTTTCAGTTTTTGGAAGTGCAAGCAAGACTGTTAACATTAAAAAAAATTTTTATTGACTTTTTACAGTGAGGAAGGGAGAGAGGTAGTTAGAAACATCGATGAGAAACATCAATCAGCTGCCTCTTGCACGCCCCCCACTGGGGATGTGCCCACAACCAAGGCACATGCCCCCGACCAGAATCGAACCTGGGACCCTTCAGTCGACAGGCTGATGCTCTATCCACTGAGCCAAACCGGTTTCGGCAAGACTGTTAACATTTTTAAAAATATATATATTTTATTGATTTTTACAGAAAAGAAGGAAGAGGGATAGAAAGTTAGAAACATTGACAAGAGAGAAACATCGATCAGTTGCTTCCTGCACACCCCTTACTGGGGATGTGCCTGCAGCCGAGGTACATGCCCTTGACCAGAATCAAACCTGGGACCTTTCAGTCCGCAGACTGATGCTCTATCCACTAAGCCAAACCAGTTAGGGTGAGACTGTTAACATTTAAGAGGGAGGAAATAGGCCCCAAACAGTGTAGCCTTTTTTAAAATATTAGAGGCTCAATGCATAAAAATTCCTGCAGAAGTAGACCTTCCTTCCCCTGGCTACTGGCACCATCTTTCCTCTGGCACTCGGGACCCTGAGTTCCCTCCTCTGGCCACCAGCAGGCATCTGGGACCTGGGCTGTTCCCTGGCTTCGTCCAGAACGATGCCCCGAAGGACACCCAATCTAATTAGCATATTACCCTTTTATTATTATAGATGTGTAACTACTGGGATAATGGTCCTCCTTCACTTCCTGTCACAGCAATCTTCTCCCCCTTCAAAAGGAGCCCATACAGTAAGTACACTGGTAACCCTAGCTGGTTTGGCTCAGTGGATAGAGCATCAGCCTGTGGACTGAAGGGTCCTGGGTTTGACTCCAGGCAAGGGCACATGCCCAGGTTGAGGGCTTGATCCTCCGTAGGGGACCTGCCAGAGGTAGCCAATCAATGATTCTCTCTCATCATTGATGTTTTTATTTCTCTCTCCATCTCCTTTCCTCTCTCAAATGAATTAAAAAAAAAAAAAAAAAAAGGGAAAAAAAAAGAGCACATATAGTTTGCTGTAGTACACATGCTCCAAATACCCAAACCTCCAGTGCGGGAGACTCCAAGGCTGTCAGCCTGCCATGTCCTGAGTCTCTTTCACTCTGCCGTAGTCTGAGCCCTCACTCCCGAGGAAAACAGTACAAAACAGCAGCCACATAAGAGATTTTGGCTTAAGGGTCTTACTTACTTCTGCAAAGCAGTATTTAATTGGCAAAGACATCTCATAATTACTAAAGGCATAAATGCTTGAATTTTCATAATTGTTGAGGGAAAGCATCGTCGTTTAAATTGAGCATATGATCTAGGAGTATTGCCCCACATGGTGAAGAGAAAGATGTGAACATAGCTGGTGTTTTTCTATTCTTGATGGGAACTAAATAGGACTCTTCTTTCAGTTTTCTTCTATAAAAACTAAAGCAGTTTTCAATTAAGTGGATGTTTTTAATGTGCATTTATCTTATTCTTTCAGAGTCAACGGGGTGGGGGTGGGGGGATAGTGGAGAAGAGCCAGAGCAATGGCCTATTTGTAATAATTCCCTCTCTATCTCATTCTATTCCTGAAATAAGGCCTGTGGTTGTGACAGTAACAATCTCCTTGCACTTTCCTTGCAAACTGGGTCAATATATTGTGTCACTTGCTATGCCTCCTAGATACAGAATAAAAGTCTGTCAGACAAGACAGGCTGTGAGCAGCCATGATGGCACTCTGGAGGGAAGACTCAAAGTGAACTTGAGCTGAAATTCAGTTCGCATAATCATGCTTTCCACTCTTCCAAATGCTATGAAATAACATTCACAATCATCTTTGACTTGCTTTGATCCTAATTTTATTTTCACTCTCCCTTCCTAACAAAAATTAAATGATGAAGTCAAATTACAAAAAAATTTGCAAATTACCAAAGAAGTAAAGCCAAGCCCACAGCCCTGAGCAAGACGGGCAGCATATCCAATGCACAGGGTGGGGTGTTCCCCACGCCCACAGCTGCAGTCCCCTGGAGGCCCAGCCACGCATGCCCACTCCAAGACATAGGCCTCCTCTGTTGGTGTGGAGCCAAGGGGCCTCTCAACAGCCCTTCCAAAGGGAGCCTGGATGGAACTGAACTGTGAGGCCTCTTGACAGGAAGGGCAAGTCCTCCCCACAGTGCCTACAGCCCAGTCCTGCCCCCACCTGTGATCCTGGTTACCCAAACCAGCCACAGTGACCTCCCTTCAGCTCCCAAATGGGCAGGGCACACTCCCCGCATGTCCCTCACCTGGACCCTGCCACTGCTTCCCTGACTTTCTCAGGGAGAATTCCACGGACCACCTCTGGTATCACCCTCCTCCTGAGTTCCTGTTAGCTCTCCTAGCTATACCGCCTCAACGTGTATGGGCTGTCCTCCATAAGAATGCCGGCTCTCAAGGGCAGGGACTCTACTTCCCAGAGTCTGGAACAGTCCAGCTCAACAGTGTCCATACCTATAGACTTTACAGGATGAGCTGTGCCTTCCCTTAGCTACTGCCCCTCCATCCAGCCTGATTCAAGCTCTCATCACTAAAACCTCCCTTCAGCCCACCCACTCAAGGACCTGCCCATCTGCTAGCAAGCCAACCCTATCCAAAACCTCTGACCTTTCTGCCTCCTCAACCACACACCCCAAGAAGCAGACTGTCCCCCATATTCTAGAGTCCACCACCTCACTTCAGGAGCAGAGGTCTGTTCTACACAGGCTAAACTCGGGGTGGGGGTGGGGGGACACCACCTACAATGCACCTCCCAATATAGTTTCATGTTGAGACCAAGCCTCGCCTTCTGGGGATGCTTCTATTTCAGAATGTTCTTGCCATTGGAAAAACACAGCTTCTTTTCCTGAAGATATCCATTACTTCAGGACTGGCTGGGGGAGTGGGGGGTTATATTTTTAATTAAATCAAAGTGGAAATATTACCAACAAGAAAAACAGAGACAAACAATCCAAGTGGGGTTCAGTGATGTGTGTGGGCTGGACAGAGGCAGGGCTTTCCCAAGGTGAACGGATTTTGTGGGACTTAGAATAGTAGGAGGATGCGCCCCAAAACAGAAGGTGCAGCTGCAGTTAGCCAGTTGCTTAGGGAATGGGGACAGGTCAGGCGGAACAGGCTTCATCATGAAGCCAGGAGAGGTTAAAATGGGAGAGCAGACTAGAGAGACCTCTGGATATAGACAGAAGAGCCCTGGACAGCTCCTCTCAGGCAGAGACACAGAAGTCCTACCTCGTGCTTCTCTCTGCCAGCCCCGGGGGAGAGCAGAGAGTGCCTCAGCTTCAGTGGGAATATCCCAGGCAGAGGCAAGGAAGAGGGTGGAGGGGTGGGGTGCACAGGCAGAGATCCTACCTCAGCGAATCAGGGTGATGGTTAACCATGAAGGAAAGATCAGGACTCAAGGAAACAGGCCATTCTCAGGTGACCATTTTCCCTCACTAGACTGATTTATATCTACGCATGCCTGAAGCCACTGAACTTCAAGACACGTGCAACCCACGAGACAACCTAGAGGGTCAGCAGCCAGCAACCCGTTCTGCCCGACAGATAATCAGCTCCTGCTGAGACAACTCCTGGCTCTCAGTGGGCAGGTCAATGGCCTGAGAACTTCGCTGCAGTGGACTATTGTGCCTGCCTGGATCAAGTTTTCAGAAAGTATATGCTGATTCCCAAGTTACACTCCCCCAGGAACTCCTGCAGTGGAGCCTGCTCCATTTCGCATTAACTGTGGCCCAAAAGAACAGAGAGCAGCCGCCAGCCTGAACTTTGACTAGAGAGAGCCTCAGGTTTGACCACAGAGTTGGCCCAGGCTCTATCTCTCACTGACCATGGGCCCAGCTGTGTGGTCAAACCACTGCTGCTCCCAGCCTTGGCACTTGAGAGCAATCTGGGCTCCTCAACTACCTGAATCCAAGGAAGCCCAGTGAACCCTTGGCTGGAAGATGCAGAGACTATAAGGGGCACGTCCAAGGCCCAGAGCTCCTCTAGGACTTTCAATTTGTGTCCCAGGGAACACCCTGATGTCATCATCCCCTGTGCTAAGGACGTGCAAGTCAGCCCCACCCGACTTGTCACACTGACGGCAGCAGCACCTCCCCTGCTGTTCCCCCTCATTTAGTGCTCTGTATGCACAAGGTCCCTGGCTGCTTGTTCACCAGGAGACTCTGGGCAGTGTGTGTTTATATTTGTGTGGACTAACGTGGTGAAAGAAGTAGTAACACACGGGCTCCACATACAGAATGCTACTCAAAGCCATCTGGGTTTGGTGTTGTAGGAAACCCAAGCTCTATGTGACATTGGTGGGCAATAATTTTGGGGGATGTAATAGAGAAGACAGGTGAGACTCTATCAACAACTGCTCATAAGACCTTGGGTTCAAAGGTACTCCCCCTTGACTGGACCACCATGATGACCATGGGCTCTGCTGAGTCTCTTTATGCCCCTCTTCCTCTGACAAGGTGAAGAAGGAGGGTGACAGCCTGTGACTTCCCAATACTGCACTCCTGACACCAGCTGGCCAAATATGGGGAGTAACAAGGAAAGGTCTACTCAGAGCTTCAGAATTTCATTTGAAGAGGAAAGTGCTTGGGCAACGAGTAAGAGAGTAAAATGGTACAACTACTTAGAAGAACTTTTGGCTGTTTTATACAAGACTAAACTCACATGTACATGACCAGCCACCCCACTGTCACGTACAGGCCCCCAATACATGAAAACATGTATCTACACAAACCTGCCCGCAGATTTCACTAGAAGCTTTATATATAACTGCCAACTGGAATCATCCTAGCCCCAAACAAGTATACACTCATTAGGTACAAGCATATGATGGAGCACTACTCCATAATAGAAAAACACAAGAAGTTGTCAAAATTCACAGAATGGCACACTGAAGGTTTCACTGTAGGTAAATTTTTACTCTAAAAAGACTGCAAACAGCCGAAACTGGTTTGGCTCAATGGATAGAGCATCGGCCTTTGGACTGAAGGGTCCTGGGTTCGATTCCGGTCAGGGGCATGTACCTTGGTTGCGGGCACATCCCCAGTGGGGGGTGTGCAGGAGGCAGCTGATCGATGATTAAAAACTAAAAAGACTACAAACAACTATTGAACTCTGGGTAATGTCTGATAGCAAGCTGAAAACTTTAGGCTGAAGTGTATAGAAATATACTGATTTGAAATGCAGCCCATTAGAAAAAAGAGAAAATAGATAGGAAGATAGATGGATAAAGCAGATACGGTAAAATGTTGCCTGCAGAATACAGATAAGAGATAAACATATGAGTGTTCACTGTGTAAGTCTTTTAATACTTTTGCATGTGTCAGTTTCCATTAAAAGCTCTTTGGGGAAAGTGGCAGTAGCTTTCTAACATTATGGATTAGTAGTTGAGTCAGTCAATTCTGGAAGACAGGGTGTGTGAAGAGCACATAACAAAAAAGGAGAGAGAGCATCCTTAAACCTGGGGCATTTTAGGGACTTCAAAGAGAAGGGAAGACATTAAGCTCAGCAAAAGGAGTCTGAGGCCGGGACCGGTTTGGCTCAGTGGATGGAGCATCGGCCTGCACACTGAAACATCCCGGGTTCGATTCCGGGCAAGGGCATGTACCTTGGTTGCAGGTACATCCCCAGTAGGGGGTGTGCAAGAGGCAGCTGATCGATGATTCTCTCTCATCGATGTTTCTAACTCTCTATCCCTCTCTGTGAAAATTCAATAAAATATATTTTTTTAAAAAAAGGGAGTCTGAGGAGAAAGGGTCATTAGGGGTGGCTGAGCAAGAGGACAGTGGCGGAGTTGAGGAAGGGGTGAGGCGATGGAAGCACAGAGCGGATGGAAGCACAGAGCGGGAGATGACTGACCTCCATTTCTGATCGCCGTAATCCCTTGGTAGAAGTCTTCAAAACTGATCACGCCGAGCCCACTGGGATCCAAGTATTTTGTTAAGTCCTTCACCTGCAATTGCCAAGTAAAAATATGTTATCCAAGCCTTTACAAAATTGGAAGGGGTGTATCATGCACTTGACCTTTTCACCATATTTAGGGAAGCAGCCTACTTGTAAGGTGCCATGCTGAAAATAAGAGCCACTGGTTCCTCTGATCCAAAGCCACCAACAGCTCCAGACAGAAAACAGGCGGTACCCTAAGAAGGTGCCAACGACACCTGGGACAATGAGTCATGGAATAAGATCCTGCTTTCAAAAGTCTGGAGCCATGCTTCCCGAGTGAAAAGATAATCCGGTGCTAACATTTTAGTATTATTCTAGCATTATCTAGATTACTACACATAGCATAGGCCCATCCATCCTTTCCCACAGTTGTGCAGAGTTCTTAGGAAAGACAAAGTAGGCAAGTAGATCTGAAAATCATAAATAGTAAGTCGAATAATTCCCAGATGAATGTTAGAGAAAATGAAAAGTCTTTGAAAAAAGACATATTTATATTTCCAAGTATAAAATGGGAATTTTCAAGATTTGCACCTCAAAAGACATCATTAGTAAAACTAAAAGACACAGACTGGGAGAACGTATTTATAAATCATACTAGAGGCCCGGTGCATGAAAATTCATGCACTGGAGCGGGGTCCCTCAGCCTGGCCTGCCCCCTCTCACAGTCCGGGAGCCCTCGGGGGGAGGAGGTGACCGGCTGTAAGGAGAAAGAAATACTCCCCCACCCCATCACCTCTGCTGCTGTCAATGCTGGCAGCGCAAGCCTTGGCAGCCCTGGTTACCTGAGCCTCGGGTAGCCCTGGGCAGCCGCCATCCAAGGCTTGCCTGTGCCTCAGGCTGACCGTGGGCGGCTAAGGGGCTGAAGGGACTGGAGGGCTCTGGAGGCAGGTGCGCAGAGCGGCTGGACCTGGGGAAGGCCTGGCCTTGCTGCATGCCTGATGCCCCAGTGGGGCTGAGGGGACTAGGCACCTCGATCTTTGAGGGCAGGGCAGCAATTAGCATATTCCCTCTTTATTAGATAGGATATCTGATAAAGGACTTATAACTAAAATGTATAAAGAAATCTCACAGTACAAGACAAAAAACACAATTTAAAAAAAAAAAAAAAAAAGGTAAAAATTTTAAACAGTTGCCCTGGCCTCATCCCAATGCACCAAAATATCATGGTTCGATTCCCAGTCAGGGCACATGCCTAGATTGTAGGTTCAATCCCTGGTCGGGGTGCATATGGGAAGCAATCGATCCATGTTTCTCTCTCACAGTGAAGCTTCTCTTTCTCCCCCTCTCCCTACCTCTCTCTCTCTCTCTCTCTATCTCAAAACAAATAATTTTTACAAACGGCTTATAAGCACATGAAAAGATGCTCGAGATTATGAGTCCTCAGGGAAATGCACATGAAAACCACAAGCTATCACTCACTAGAGCAGCTGTAATAAAAAGTATTGACAATAACAAGGGTTGGTGACGTTGTCAAAAAATTGGAACCTCATATTGCTAGGAAGAATGTAAAATAGTCTGGCTAATTTGGAAAATCATTTGGCAGTTTCTTGAAAAGCTAAGCATAAGCTTAATATACAACATAGCAATTCCACTCATAGGTATGGTATCCACCCAAGAAAAAAAAGATGTATATGCAAATATTCATAGCAAGCAGCATTATTCACTATAGCAAAATAGCAAAAGCAACCCAATGTCCATCAATTGAGGAATTGATAAATAAGATGTGATCTATCCAACAAACTATTATTCCTCCATAAAAAGGAATAAAATCCTGATACATACTACAACATAAATGAATCTCAAAAACATTTTGCTAAATACAAAAGCCAGACACAAAGATCACAAATTATATTCTTTCATTTAAAGAAAATTTTCTGAAAAGATAAATCCATAGAAATACAAAGCACATTAGTGGTTGCCTGGAAATTGTGGGGTGGAAGTGGGATGATTGCTAACAGCATGAGAACTCTTTTTGGCATGTGGCAATGTTGTAAAACTAGGCTGTGATGATGACTGCATAACTTTATAAATTTACTAAAATTCACTGATTTGCACACTTACAGTGGGTAAATTTTATGGCACTTAGATTATACTTAAACAAGCTTTTAAAAACAAATGAAAAAAAAATAAAAACAAATGAGCCGAAGCCAGTTTGGCTCAGTGGATAGAGCGTCAGCCTGTGGACTGAAAAGTCCCGGGTTCGATCCCCGTTAAAATACCGTACCTTGGTTGTGGGCACATCCCCAGTGGGGGAGAGGGGATGCAAGAGGCAGCTGATCGATGATTCTCTCTCATCGATGTTTCTAACTTTCTGTCCCTCTCTCTTTCTCTCTGTAAAAAAATCAATAAAATATATTTTTAAAAAACACACAACAACAACAAATGAATTGCCCAGTGGTTGAGCCTCGACCTATAAACCAGGAGGACATGATTCGATTTCCCATCAGGACACATGCCCAAATTATGGGCTCCATCCCCAGTGTGGGGAGGACAGGAAGCAGCTGATCAGCGATTCTCTCTCATCATTGATGTTTCTATCTTACCCTCTCTCTCGCTGAAATTAAAAAATATATTTTTAAAAACTATATTTAAGAAAACTTCCCTAAAAACTACATATTGAAAGACTACATGGAGTACCTAAAAAAATCAACTCCCAACCCCAAAAGACCTACTCTAACACTTAATCTGGTAATTTTTTTGGACTTTGAAGGAAAAAAACACCTTTGAATAGCTATGTAAAAATCAAATTATTTTATAAAAGAAAATTAGATTATCATTGAACTTTTCCACAGCAGCACAGGAATATTCTAATTCCATTATTCTAAGAGTTGTTGAGGACTGGGATCCTCCCCATCACCATGAGGTATCTATCACACATGATATTTTAAAAACAAAACAAAAAAAAACCCTTCTAATTGTGTTCAATTAACAGTGAGCACCTGTAGCACCTAGGTTGTGTTATTTAAATTCAATTTCCATTAAAAGGAATCAGGACCCTTGGAGAAATGCCAGGAGATGTGCAAGTTAAGCCTGAAATGTCTTGTCAAAACTGAAAGCAAAGTCTTTATTAGGTCACATCAAAGAACTCAGAAGCCAACCTAAATAGGATTTTACAGTAAAAAATGAAACAATATGAGCATTGATGGGAATGATAAATACAGCAGACTGAAATATATCACATTTTAGTCAATTAAAGCATAATTATGGTAAAACAAAATAACAAGTCATTAGTGGAGGACACTAATGAATCAATTTATCATTGTGAAAACTAAGAAGAAAGAACCAAGCAGTTAGCCTGCCTTTCCTATATAAAGTGTTACCTCAGGGTAAGCAATGGTCAGGAATTCATGGTCATGAGGGGAAGTGTTTATTCAAGAATCATTCCAGTCCAGGCCTGAGTGCTAGGTTGGTTGGGTATCCTCCCTTGCACTGAAAGGTTGCTGGTTGATTCCCAGTCAGGGTACATGCCTGATTTGTGAGCTTGATCTCTGGTAGGGTGCATGCAGGAGACAGCCTATCAATGTAGTGCTCTCACATCAATGTTTCTCTCTTCTCCCTTCCTCTCTTTAAAGATCAATAAATTTAAAAAAAAAATTAAAATTTTTAAAAATAAGATCAATAAATTATTCTTTTTTTAAAATATATTTTTATTGATTTTTTACAGAGAGGAAGGGAGAGAGATAGAGAGCTAGAAACGTCGATGTGAGAGAAAGAGAAACATCAACCAGCTGCCTCTTGCACACCCCCTACCGGGGATGTGCCCGCAACCAATGTACATGCCCTTGACCGGAATCGAACCTTGGGACCCTTTAGTCCGCAGACCAACGCTCTACCACTGAGCCAAACCGGCTTCGGCAAAGATCAATAAATTATTCTTAAAAAAAAAAAAAAAAAAAGAATCATTCCATCCAATAATCCAAAGAAGGAATGATGGGATTCTAATGTCACCATCCTGCAGTGCTTGATGAAGAAATGGACATAAGCAATGACCCTCAGTGCTTCCAAAGGGTACCAAAAGACAGACAATAAGACACCAAGTGCCTCCTGATGGAAGTATGTGACACCACCTAAATTAAATCTGAATCCAATTACCAATTTATAGGAAATACAATGATCAAAGCAATGTGTTTCAATAATATCACAGGGATGTAATCAACAAAACCCAACCTATGTGGACCTGAAAAGAGACAGAACAGTAGCCTGGTCGGTGTGGCTCAGTGGTTGAGTATCAGCCTATGAACCAGGAATTCATGGTTCGATTCGGGTCAGGGCACATGCCTGGGTTGCGGGCTTAATCCCCAGTAGGGGGCATGAATGGCTCTCGTCATTGATGTTTCTATCTCTCCCTCTCCCTTCCTCTCTGAAATCAATAAAAATATATTTAAAAAGAGACAGATAAGTGACCTGTTATTTTCAAGGAGAAAGGGAAAAAAAAAAAAAGATGGAGAAAGTAAACCTTTTAAGAGACTTAGGAGCCTGGCTGGTATGGAGCCGTGGTTGGGCATCAACCTATGAACCAGGAGGTCACAGTTCAATTCCCAGTTAGGGCACATGTCTGGGTTGCGGGCTCAGTCCCCAGTAGGGAATGAGCAAGAGGCAGTCAATAGATTATTCTCTCTCATCACTGATGCTTCTATCTTTCTCTTCCTCTCCCTTGCTCTCTAAAATCAATAAAATTATATTCTAATATATATATTATGCAAAACTAGGCCTTCCTTCCCCAGGCTGCTGGCACCAGCTTCCCTCTGGCACCCGGAACCCGGGCTTCCCTGGCAGCCCTGGCTTCATCTGGAAGGACGTCCACTCTAATTATCATAGTACACTTTTATTACTATATATATTTTTAAAATCACATTTATAGGTTAATTAGAAATTTTAATGCTGATCTTGGATAATAACTATTGACTGGATATTTGATATTAAGGGACTGTTGTTAATTTATGCACAGCGTTTTTTATATATTTACTAAAATATTTAGGGATACTTTAAAAACCTGGGGGCTGCCCT